ATCATTACATATATTATCGCCATCTTCTTAAAATATATACAACATCACGATATATATCATCTAAGGTTTGTTTAAAAATGTACAACATCATTACATATATTATCGCCATCTTCTTAAAATATATACAACATCACGATATATATCATCTAAGGTTTGTTTAAAAATGTACAACATCATTACATATATTATCGCCATCTTCTTAAAATATATACAACATCACGATATATATCATCTAAGGTTTGTTTAAAAATGTACACAATCATTACATATATTATCGCCATCTTCTTAAAATATATACAACATCACGATATATATCATCTAAGGTTTGTTTAAAAATGTACAACATCATTACATATATTATCAGCAGTTTGTTAAAACGAATACAGCATCACGATACCATTACCGCCGGCTGAAGAGGGTGTGTCCTGTGACGTAACAATAAAAGACATTACATTGAGATTCAGATGTTGTTGTTTTTGGTTGTTGTTTTTTTTTTTTTATGCAGACGTGCTGTACTGCATTGTTAACAGGCTTGCTGAATTGGTTTCTGGATCTACTGCTACGACTGTTAGAGGCGACGATTTAACCCAATGTCATCACACCAGCTCACCGAAAATAAAGTTACTTAAAAAACCCTTTCGTCAAGTCTCATTGAATATTCTTCGTATGGAATGTGGTAACAGCGTTTGTGGTTTAACTTCAGTTCAGCGCTATAAAATTTATAAACACGCCCCTGAAATATTTTAACAATTAGTCGTGTTTAACTCGACCTACTACCATAAATTATAAGTACGCCTTTGAAATAATGGTAAATATAGTTTTTTTTTTTTTTTCTTCTAATTTACAATTTCTTTCTTAAATTGGAATTATAATTATTTGACAGTGAACAATAACCATGATAAAAAGTTTTTAAACACTTCACATACGAGGAAACAAAATGGTAAAATTGTTAGAAGCTAAATCTAAAACAAAACTTTAAAAAAAAATAATATAAAAAACAGCAAATGAAAATCAGAGCAGTGAATACGGAAATAAATGGAACAAATAAAACTCGAGAAGTGTTCCTGAAGACTCTGGGAAGATTCTCCCTAAAAGATTGAAAAAATAACGAAAAACGGCTACAAGTATTTCAAAAAAGAAAAGTTTAAAAAAAAAAAAATCATTTAATAAATAAATTTGAAACACACAATCCCAATCGGAAAAGGCTCATTGACTTCATCCAAAATCGTTTAAATATTTTTGACAAAATTTACTGATTGTTCTCCATGCAGCATTTAACACTACATTGAAGCGAAGTTATTTTTTACAAAATAAATGTTTATGTGACTGAAAGGATTTTTCTGGTCATTATTGGCAAGTCCTTTAATGTCAACTCGTTTAATGGCAAATCTTTTAATGGCAAGTCTTTTAATGGCAAGTCGTTTAATGGCAAGTCGTTTAATGGCAAGTCTTTTAATCGCAAGTCGTTTAATGGCAAGTCGTTTAATGTCAAGTCGTTTAATGGCAAGTCGTTTAATGGCAAGTCGTTTAATGGCAAGTCGTTTAATGGCAAGTCGTTTAATGTCAAGTCGTTTAATGGCAAGCCCAGGCTTTTTTATTAGTGGATCTCAAAAGTTTTAAACGTTACAACCAAGGTCGCCACCAATTTCTCCATCGCATACAACGAAAATGTGTGATGTTCTTGATCAGCCATTAGATATAAGTATGAAGATATGAAATCAGAGTGATATATTAATATAAAGAGTGTCTACAGACCTAAAGTTAAATTATTGTTGTCTGAGATAATCATGTACATGGTGTTCATTGAGTCGCAACAATTACTAATGAACGCTCATACTCGACATATCCCCCCTCTTTCATTTTAGATTTAACTAATGGAGTTAAATCGTCACCAGACACACAAAATTTACATCAGTTACATCAAGAAGAACCCTTCAGCCATATGAATGGTCCTTATCAAAAAAACATTATTTAGGTAACACTGAAAATCAAACAGATTTATGATATACTGCAATAAAATAACAATCCTTCCTACATAATTTTAAATGCAATTCAAGAGATAAAAATTCATGTACGACAATAAAAATCAGACCATTGAAATTGAATGTCAACATTAATTTTCATTTTTCATACCATTGAAAAAAAATTATATTTTTATCTAAAAAATCAGGGCAAATACATCAACATCCTTACTGAATTTGAAACTATAACTAACTTAATCCAAATCATATCATAAAGAAGGTGTATTTTTAAACAGAACCAATTGCCATCACTATAAAAACACAAAACTATCTAACATACATATCTTTTGTCCGTGGATTTCACAACTTTATGCTTCAACATGTTTATTATAATTAGAATTATCTCTCCCTGTTCTTTTGACCCGTGGTCATAACTCATGTGAAATCTCAGTTTTACAATACATTTAAAAGCCTCACCAGTACGGAATTTGGGTAGAGAGAATATAAAGGTTTAAGAAGAGCATGGCAGGAGAACAATTGATGGATGATGGACTTTCTCTCTCCCCCCTCTCTCTCTCTCTCTCTCTCTCTCTCTCTCTCTCTCTCTCTGAGAGAAGAGCAGTTGGGTGATGCTGGAGTGTATTGATCGCTTTCATTCTGAACTCCAGATCAGATCATCAGTGATCAAGGAAGTAGCAGATATGTTTGGGGGTGTTCAACACAAGAGTCTACAATCTGCAAGTGAAGAAGGATTATTGATGTCCATTCCAAAACTAACCTCATCTTAGAAAGAGATTGGTGTTGGGGGTGGGGGCTGAAAATTTGATTAGAATGTTTTATCATTGGCTATTTGTCTATGTGCCGAATTTCAGCTCGATAGGTGGACGAGAGGTAGGTTAACTAGCCGTCCGAAGATTTCACGAGACAGCCACAAACAAAATCGAAGTTAATATAAATGATTTAATAATTTCTTTTCAAATATGCCCTCTACAGATTATTATTTGATGGATGCAATACTATTTTTAAAATAGGCAAGATCTTTTGTTTTTTCCGCTCACAAAGTCTCTCGAGAAAGCAAAAACGAGATTCGACTCATTTAATGTTGACGCAGGGAAAACATTAGTGTTATCTAAAAACATTTTTTTTTTCAAAACCGGCATTGTACGTTTCTTAAATATCAGTTCCAGACGACTTTATGGGGGGGGGGTCACCTTGACCCAACAATGATCGCGACGCACTGGACAGGACGGGCCCTTGAGCTTTCTAAACGCTGCCCGGCAGGTCAGCAGGCTCAGACATTTGTTGTAATTAACGTTTCTAAAGTGTGGCGACTTGGCGTTGTGATCGCACATCGACATTCGGATATTGATCTCCTTTCCAACTCATGTCTACGATTAAAGCCAATCTTTTACCAGTGCTCCGCGGCAGCGAAAGTCATGCCCTGCGTGCACTTCTCATGGCTTCATCTGAACAAATCAGTTGACAGTTTTGGTTGTAGTAAAAAAAAGATAAAAATAAAAAGGTATATTAGAAGTATGAACGGAGTTAAATTCTGAAATAAAAACAAAAACTTAATTGAAAGACACGGGATAAACTCTCACCTAAACAATATTTTAGTCTAAAATTTAAAAAAATAAATATTTATTTAGAAATTACAGCTAGATTACTTTTTTTTTTATTTTGATATGGTTTATGCGCCAAATATTTTATTGATCGCATCCTTCTCCTGGTTGCCAGGTTCAAAAGTTTAAGGGCGTCAGGGGGGTCTCAAATCTGTGAAACTTGTTCTCGCGGCGTTTTTTAAAACCAAAAAATCTTGCTTTTTTTCGTGTGTTGGTAACTGCTGGGATAAAGATTTGGGATCCTTCTACTTTCATGTGTTGGTCACTACTGTCATGGATGCTGGGTGGCCGACTGCTCTAAACTGTGAAAATCTCAAGTTGATGGTCTGGAGTTCAATCCCCACCAAAGGCCACTCAATCAAAAAATCACCAGCACCCCGGGTAGATGGGACTTAAAACTTGGATGGCAACTCATCTAAGAGAAGGAAACTCTGCATTCAAACCCGGAGATGGAGTCCCGTAGGCTGATAAAATGGACATAATGAAACGCCCCTGGATTCCGAGCTCTATCATCCACATGATGTTCCCTTGGATTATCCAGCGGTAGGAAAGAGGCAATTTGCTTTTGGGAACCATTTTATAATCCTAAAGGAATACTCCCAGGCCTTGTGGATTTTCGTACTGCTAAGTCCACACCATCGACACAATGAAACAGACGGATGTCAACAAAACATATAAAATTTAAAAAAAAACTGTCATAAAGATCTCAGTTGCTTCTGCTTTCATGCGTTGGTAACTTCTGTCGTAAAGAATTGAGATCTTTATACTTTCATTTTTTTTTGGTAGCTACTGTGATAAAGATTTTTGTTTCTATTAAAAGTAAATCTGCCCACCCTCTTTAACTCCAAATCCTAAGAGGAAACACCTTGAGGATTGGAGACCCCTTGGGTACAGAGACGATCGCACAAGATCCCCCACGTCTTGTCTGCTCAGTGGTATTCAACCAATGTTCAGCAAAGCCGAAAGAATTGTGAATGCGCTTCTCGTGGCTTTTTTCCACGAAAACTTCTCAACACTACATTGCATTTTAAGACACATGGTATGACACAGAGGGACATCCCTATAGCAATTGAATCATTAATGTGATCTATTAATTTTTAAAAAAGGCTGAGAACAACTGCCCTTTGAGAAAGAACTGAATGCGACGGAGACCCCTAGGTTTGGAGGCTTGCGCGCAAGATCTCCCGCGTTCTGCTTGCGACGGATGCGTCTCTGTCGTCTCAAATGACAGACACGCCTACCATTGCACTAATATAAGGTGGATGTCACATGACAGGCACGCCTACTATTTGACGAATATAATGTGCTTGCCCCCCCTCCCCCCCCCCATGCTGACGGAGACTGGATCTTTTACTCCGATACCACCGCTCGCGATTGCCAACACTCTTCAGTCTAGCCCTACAGTTACATTCTGTGTTAAGTTTCCAGGAGTTTTAGTTGGAGCCCTAAGATTTAAGACAAAGTAAGTAGACACATTGTTGAACCTGGGTTTGAAATACATGCATGTCTTTAAGACTAATTTTGATGATACTATTTCCGGTGATACTATTTCCGATAGAATCAGAGTAATTAACTGTAGCAATCTATGTTATAGTTATATTTAAAAGAAATTATTGATAACAAGCAATATATATATATATAAAATATTTAGGTTCAACTAAAGTATCTCTGAGCGCAACCTGTAAAAGAGTATCAAGCTTGCAAAGGTTGTCCTTAAACGATAGTCAGTTAACAGGTCGCACTGTCAACTACTGTCATCTACTGACATAGTCATGTCCAACTTCTGCTCAAATAATGTCCAACTCACATAAATTTCATTTCCCATTGCTGCTGAACTCTAGTCCGCCGCCAGTTCAACCATGGCCATTTTCATCTCTAGCTTCTATCCCTGTACGCCCCAATTCATTTTAATTTACGACCTGTTGGGCGTATGCCAAAATTGACTTTAAATTGCCCCCCCCCTGTAGAGCGCACGCCCCTACTAACTTTAATTTGCCCCCCTGTAGGGTGTACGCCCAAACCCGGATTAACTGATGTAAACCATTCGTTTGTGAATAAAGTTTAGTTATGTACATCAAATATGTACATCAAATATGTACATCAAATATGTACATCAAATATGTGCTTCAAATATGTACATCAAATGTGTACATCAAATATGTACATCAAATATGTGCATCAAATATGTACATCAAATATGTGCATCAAATATGTGCATCAAATATGTACATCAAATATGTGCATTAAATATGTACATCAAATATGTACATCAAATATGTGCATCAAATATGTGCATCAAATATGTGCATCAAATATGTGCATCAAATATGTACATCAAATATGTACATCAAATGTGTACATCAAATATGTACATCAAATATGTGCATCAAATCTGTGCATCAAATATGTGCATCAAATGTGTACATCAAATATGTGCATCAAATATGTACATCAAATATGTACATCAAATATGTACATCAAATATGTACATCAAATATATGCATCAAATATGTACATCAAATATGTACATCAAATGTGTACATCAAATATGTACATCAAATATGTACATCAAATATATGCATCAAATATGTACATCAAATATGTACATCAAATGTGTACATCAAAAGTGTACCTCAAATATGTACATCAAATATGTACATAAAATGTGCACATGAAAAGTCTTTGTCTCCTCTCCAATTAGTTCTTTTTCGGGGACTGTTCAAATAAAGGACCCAAACATAATATTATTTTATTTATTCCTGACAGGGTCTCTAGCCAAAAATGAATGCTTCTAGGACATTCAGTAATTCATCAAGATCATCCGAGGACTTAATTTCTCTATATAACACTTTGATTCAAGTCAGAGACATTTCGGACTACGTCGCCATCGCTTTTGGAATCTTACCAAACTTGTGGATCCTGCTGGCCACACTTACGTCACAGGATCTCCGCGCGCGCATGCGCAATAAAATCGTCTGCAGCTTCTGCGTGCTGCACCTCCTGGACTGCTTGCTGTTCATGCCGATGTGGATAGAAGCCATTCGACTTTCCAAGCGTTATGGTATTTTCAACTGTAACTTATTTAACTTCATCACACTTATTTACCTCTTGCAGGACTTCATCTCCAACTGGACGTTGGTGCTGCTGGTCGTTGTCTTCATCGCCCGAATTTGTGACTTCAAGCCGTACGCAGGTTTGACAAGTCTGACAACGACGCTCGGAACGTACGCCATCTTGATCTCACCTTGGGTGGCTTCCCTTGTCATCATCCCAGGAGTTAGGAACTCGCTTTGGTATTCTTATCTTAAAAGCAACAATATTTCCACCACTGATGGCTGTGTATACTCAACACCAGATGCGTTCCTTGTTATCAAATCCCTGGATACGGCTGTGCCCCTATTCACGGCTGTGGCCCTAATGGTGACGGCTGTGGTATTAAGGCGCCGACGGTTCACGAGAGGATTCTCTGGGGACATGGAGGTGGAGCTCATTGAACGGGGACCGGAAGTCGACAGCCATTTTGGATACACGGCAGCTGTTGTCGTGTCGTTTGTTTGCGACTTCGCCACTGCATTCATGATTTTTGATCTGATTGAGATCAGGATGACCCAAAGGTATGAAAATTGTACATAAATATGTGCTGATATTAATCATAATCTGACTAAACTTATGCAGGTGAGTGATAATTGCACATAAATATGGGCTGATATTACTCATAATCTAACTAAACTTATGCAGGTGAGTGATAATTGCACATAAATATGGGCTGATATTAATCATAATCTGACTAAACTTATGCAGGTGTGTGATGAAATTGCGTAGTATAACTTAGTTTTGGGCCAATTTTAAAGTGTTTGCCAATTACTAAATATTTTAGGCTAATACTTCTCATTGTACGGCTAATCATATACCAATTTATGGTAATCTTTCAACATGAAGAAAATCTTACACAAATTTACTAGAAGTTAAGTTTTATAGCTTTTTCCATTTTTAAATTCTACTATTTTTTCCTAGGCCTATTTTTACAAGCTTCAATGCATTTAATGTTCACAATACGGTGATCTTAAGAGCTTGGCCATAATTTCAACGTGCAATGCTTTAAACGTTCTATCAACATTAAAAATGTTGAGTCATTATATGAGGTTTTTTAACTCTATTTTTCTAAGTTTGAAAAAAAAATAAATAAATAAATACAAAAAATGACTTCGATTTTTAAAGCAATATCTCAAGTCAACGTAAACCTACGGGTAACTAACTGTGATAGAGAGGGCGGTCTATCCCTGGGGGGGGGGAAGTTAATTGGGGCAGCAAGTGAACTGTGCAGGTCCAACTGTGGTGTACTTTGCCTTTAGCGCCCTGTTACACTGCACCTCCATTAGCCCCATCAGCAAATTTATAGGTGCAGTTTCCACGTCTATGACAAATGGGTTACGAAAAAGCTCGAAATTAAATTTCTGTGTTTCAAAGTCACTGAAGCGCCTTGCGAACTCAACGCGAAGTAAGCAACGTTTTTCAGCAAAGTGTGCATTGGAAAACACCATAGCGTTGACTTGGATATAATTGTACGCCGGTCAAGACCTTGCTGGCCTAATATAATTGTACGGCGGGCCGGATGTGACCCGCGGGCCTTCAGTTTGACACGTGTGCTCTAAAGGTTCTGCATTGTCTCTTTTCTAAGTGTGTCTTTTTTTACTTTCAATCTGTGTGCTCATTCGTCTCTAATATTCAAATACTCTAAAAGTCTGCAATTGACTCTCTTGCTATATGTGTAGCTTTTTAGACTTCCAAGTTCTCTGATAGCACCGTCTCTGATGCTCAGATCGTCTAAAAGTTATGCGTTGACTCTGTCCAAAGTGTTACTCTTTCTTTTCACTTCAATTTAATCAGCAAATAAGACGATAGACAAGAAACAAAAATAATGATTTTATTTATATTTAATTTATAAACAGGTGGGTCTTCTCTTTGGTGGCATACGTCATGTCCCAGACTCAAGTCTTCCTCACTCCTCTGCCCTGGCTGCTCTTCCCAGACATCAGAGAGCGTGTCAAGACGTGGAGACCGTGGCACTCTGTCAAACTCTGGCATTGACTTGACACTCGCCTTAGACAACCGTGTGTTCATGGACTGCCCAACCGGGTCATAGTGACACGGCCATCTGTGTGCTCATTTCCCCAAATATACTTTATACTGTGTAGGAATTCATTGTATCTGATATAATTACGCCATGAATCAAATATAAGAAATGAATAGATATTATAAATATATATATATATATATATATATATATATATATATATATATATATATATATATATATGTGTGTGTGTGTGTGTGTGTGTGTGTGTGTGTTATGTATTTATATTTTTTCTCTATATATATATATATATATATATATATATATATATATATATATATATATATATATGTGTGTGTGTGTGTGTGTGTGTGTGTGTGTGTGTATTATGGATTTAACTTCATTCCCTATAACGTAAACACATCCATGTCAACTTTTTTGTTTTATCCAGGGATGTTTTTGTCCGTTTTTAAGCCTTGTCATGTTCAGTACATTTAAAAATAAATAAATACATTTAATTTTCATTGTTAACTTTTGAACATCACTAGAGCAGATAGCTACGTCAAACGCCCTGTACATGTAACACTAAAAACACCAGGCGTGGTAACAATAAACACAGTGCATAAGATGGATGTGTTTCGTGTTGTGTTGTACTTTCAAAATCATTTTTTATGGCAATTATTGTTATACGGCAACAATGGATTAGATGGATCGCATATACTCCAAAGCCTCACACATGTTCAGACGAAACCCGTCACAATCGAATCATCTGGAAGTAGTTTGTAGAGTTTGTGTCCGGGGGGCTGTTTTGTCGACAGGGGGGAGGAGGACTTTTTATCGGAAGTCGTTGGTTGGGGGGGGGGGTCGTTGTCAGGCACCCACTTGATGGTGCCAAAAAATTCAATTTATAAAATGACACCTTAAGATCAAATCTATCCATCAACGCTTAGATCAAATCTATCCATCAACACTTAGATCAAATCTATCCATCAACACTTAGATCAAATCTATCCATCAACACTTAGATCAAATCTATCCATCAACACTTAGATCAAATCTATCCATCAACACTTAGATCAAATCTATGCATCGACGCTTAGATCAAAGCTACCCGTCCACGCTAGGATGAGACCTATCAACACACATACGAACTTAAACATCAAAACAGATATGCTATCGTAAAACATCAACACAGATATGTTATCGTAAAACATCAACTTTTTAAAATTTTATATTCCCCGTGTATTTAAAACTATCAACATTTTATATTCAAGTCGTTTCTCTCTATCATGATGACAAAAATGACGTCAGAATGACGTTGAAACTTAAATCGCATGTTGTTGGTAAAATATTTTTTAGCAATTTCTATTTTTCTTATAAAAGTCATCATTTGACAGTGTGCAGGAAACACATATCTTTTATCTTGTGTCCTTATCAATTAACTTTGATTTTGTTTCTGGGTGCCTAACCGATTGACTAGCTGGGTGGCAAACATCTTTCGGACGGCTAATTGGCCCACTTCCCGTCAAGCCCTTGAGCTGAAAACTTGGTACATAATTTCATTACCGACGACAACGCATTCTAACTAATTTTCAGCACCAAAAAAAAATATTAAAAATTAAACCAAATCCAGCAACAAAAAAAACAAAACAAAAAAAATTAAAAATAAATATTTGTTTCTTTTTTTTTTTAAAAGGGAAGGAAAAGTGAAATTCGCGATAACTGCGCGACGACATGTGATTCGTTGTTTTTTTTTTAAAAATCGCAAGTGCATTTGATGGCGTCATCTTTCCTTTCGTCTTCTTTCTTTTTCCTGAAATAGTTGGTGAAATTATTATTTTTTTAAACTTCTTAAAAATTTTGGCGCTCTGAGCAATAGGAAATTTTACAAATTCCAACCTCGCTCTGGCTCAGGACAAAAACACCGTGCTCCAGAGCGACGGGCTCCAGCTCCTAGCTGTGCTCCAGGCCTCTGGGGGGGGGGGGGGGGGGGTTTAAAAAAAAATTATCAAAAATCAGATCCAAGATGAATTTATAAAACATCAGAGCGAAGCGGAATTTTATTAACTATTAGAGCCATGCGGAATTTTATCAAAGATCGGACGGAGCCATGAGGAATTGAATCAAAGATCAGAGACATGCGAAACTTATAGCCCAAACTTTGAGCCAGAGCTGGAATCTATTTACGTAATCTGTAACAAATTTTCTATGGTTTGAGCTACTACGATCGAGTCAAGCGCATACCCAGTATTTTCTGACTCTAGAGTTAATTGGATAAATGAAGTAGAGTGCAACATCCAGGTCCATTATCAATGTGTGGAGGACGAAATTCAGGCTGAAGGCATCTCTATTAGCTCTAATTGAGACGATCGAATGTTTAAACGTATTTTAATCAACTCCATTCAAACAGGATTTATTTTAAATGGATCGCACAAAGTCGATTCGGTCTGCCATCAGACATAATAGATGGTTTCTGGAAAGAATGATCACCAAATCCCTTTATCCCAAAAGTATTAATTTTTTTTTTTTAAATATTAAAATACATAGTACACAATGAAAAAATAAATATTATTAACAAATAATTTCACGTTGTAGCTATATAAATATGAGAGCTGATCAAGAAATGCTGTTTCTTTTATTTATTTATTTACTTTTTTTGTTGCTGTGTGCAGTTTTTAATTAATTTTTAATTATTTTTTTAAATTTTTTTTTTTTTTTTTTTTTTTTTTATTTTTATTTTTTTTTTTAATTTTTTTTTTTTTTTTTTTTTTTTTGAGTTGGGGTTGGGGGTATTTCAAACATGTATAATTTGGAGGTTTAAAGTTGTGTCAGCACCATATGATTTAATATAAAAAGAAGGCAACTTGAAAGTGTGGCTTTTAGCTTTCGAAAATATACATTTAATTGTAGGGGTAAAAAGGTGATGGAATATTTAATAAAAATATTTTTTAAAAAATAAGTTAGGCTACGTGGGGCGTGTGAAAAGAGGCGCAGATGTACCTAGGGCGTGTGAAAAGAGGCGCAAATGTACCTGGGGCGTGTGAAAAGAGGCGCAAATGTACATAGGGCGTGTGAAAAGAGGCGCAAATGTACCTAGGGCGTGTGAAAAGAGGCGAAAATGTACCTAGGGCTTGAAAAGGCAGAGGTGGGGCATCTTTCTCAGTGCATCATTATGCCACAGGGCAACAATTGGAAGCCTACTTAATTTCACCTGCTTGTGTGGGAAATTCATCGTCTGATCTTAGATACCGAATAAACGGACCGATCAAGAAAGCCACAAACACGACACAAACTAAAGATCCTTCACTTGAAGAACTATTTGAAGAAAGATGTTTTTGTAAAACTAAACATATTTTGGACGATACATCCCACCCTCTTCGTCGCAGATACTTAGGATCGGGCCGTTTCGGGGCGAAATCTTTCTCTCAGGGCGAGGACTGATAGATCTAAAAATTCTTATGTTCCCCAATCGGTACGAATTGACCAGCGTGCTCCCCCAGAAGTCACAAATCTTAATGAGAACTAATAAGCCACTGATATGGCTAAGAGAATTCACTGAATACCTGTTTTTTTCCAGTAGAGAAATAATTTAATGTAGATGTCTTGTGTTCAAACTGCTTTATTTATGTGCTGAAAATGTACAATGCAATAAAAAAAAAAACATTTCAATTTGTTTGGATCGATATAAGAATATTATCTTATCTTATCTTTATGAATTTTTATTACTAACATTATATAATTAGGCTTATCATGGGTCGAAAAGTGGAACAAGGTACATATAAAGAAAGTTTCGACTAAGAGCCTTCGTCGATAGACAGAACAAAATGAAGAAACAGCACGACATAGAAAGTAGTTCAAAAACTGAAGTGGTTCACAATTAATTTTATTTCCGGAAGTTAAGATTTCCAAAACGAATATTACATAACGTAAAATAATTGAAGCATCCTTACTATAAAAAATGAGATTTTTTAGGACAATTTTTTTTTTTTTTTTTGGGGGGGGGGGGGGGAAAATATATGAAATTGTAAGACTTTAGGTATGGGCGCCATATGCGGTTATCTGGAGTGGCATTTTATTTCAAGAGACAGCAAATTCCAGCAATTATTATTATTCGATTTTTTAATAACTCATAGTTACGACTTAGATCTTTAGAAAACCCAATGAAAATTAGACAATAAACTTTCCAGATTATCCAAATATTATCCAAATATTCAGACGGACATTAAGTTTGATTTTTAAAAAAATTATTAAAAACTGGAGAAGTTTAATTTCAAAAACACACCCCAAAAAAAAAGAAAAAAAAGAAGAGTTCTCAGAATCTTTAGAATTCCAATTCACCTTTGCGTCTGAAAGTTCATATTCAGCTGCTCTGTTATGGGAAAGGGTGGAAAGGGGGGGGGGGGCCGGGGGTTTGGGAGCGAAGCGCGCTTATTTTTGAGTATATTAATCAGAGCCAAACGCTCACTAAACACTGACTTCATCTCTGACAACTCCATGAGCAGTTACTTCTGGAACAATGATAAATGCTTCACTGTGCCTCGGTGTAGCACAGTTCAATATAAACAATCATTCTTCCCACGAACAAATAATTGCTTGGAACCAACTGGAAAATACCGCCGTGGACTCGACATCAATCGAGAGTTTTAACACTGGTCCTGTCACCCGCTAGGAGCCCTTAGGATGGCCGCACCGTTTCCCAGACCGTTGCACATGGGCCAGTACTTGGTTGCAGCACCGTAGTCTCTCAGAATCAGAATTTTGACTCGATGCCACGAAAAGAAAGTTGTTACAAAGATTACAAGGCCAGATGCATCACTTCATGTCACCATGAAAATTAAATGACAAGTATCAAATATTGGAAATGTTAGGGAAACAATTGTTAAAATGATTAACTTGAAAAGGCTTTAATGGAAAAGGATTACCTTGAAAAGGATTAAATTGAAAATAATGACATCGGAAAGGATTTCATTGAAAAGGATTACATTGAAAAGGATTACATTGAAAAATATTAAAT